CAACTTTGCTTTCATTTGTCAAATTCAACCTTATTATTACACTGCGTTTGGTTTGAGCGCTCACGCATTGTAAATTTTATTTTATCTTTATCATACAGTACTTAAAACTTATAGTGTGTGAACTGAATGCAGATTAATCTCGATCTCTAATATCCAGTCTGATACAACAATATTATAGATTTTCAGTACTGGCAGTGTATATCAAAACGAAGCCATAATCGCACTATCTCTATCACTTGAATGATTTTATAATGCACTTGCATTATTATTCGACCTATATCGCCGTACGCAATCGACTGAACGAATTTAGAGGAAATATAGATTAAATTATCGTGACATTAATGGCGTTTAACGAAAAAAAGCAGATTTCGAATTATTGTAAAAATCTTTAATCTGATTAATTTTTCTTCTTAGTTTCTTACTGGATCTAAATGTACAAAACCAATCATATTAAGTGGCGTCCATAATAAAACAGTAAGCCTTAAGTCGTAATAAATTGACCCATCATAGTCAATTATTCTCCTCGCATTTGATTGCAATTAAATTTCTTATACAGCTTAGGGCGTGTTACGGAAATAATAGAATAGGGAACAACTCACTGTGTGGTACCTTAATGTAAGGGAAAAGGAAAGAAAAGGAATTAGTCGCAGCGTAAGCAAAACATAAACGAGACTCGAACAGTGCTTTCAAGAGCTTAGTTTTTATAAAAGTAAAATAAAAATTTTTAGGCAAACGACGAACGCTGAAAAATCAAATACAATACTCCAAACGCGACCATTTCAAGGGATTAAATAAAAAAAGACGCTGAATTGCAGATCATGCTGTTGTATCGAAAATTTGGCAATCGAAAACAAGCAGAAAATTTTCTCGGATTACCTCGATGCAAGTACAATTAACTAAAAAGATAAATTAATTATGATGTAAAACAGAAGGTTCAAACAAGGATTCCAATGAGGCTTAAACATTGCTTTTAAAATTATAATCAATCCTTATAACGACGAAACAAAATGTATAAAAATTATAAATTTCTGTGATGAATACTATTACACACTGACAAAATGTAATACACAAAAACGCTTTATACTATTCTCAGTACTAGATACAAAATATTCTTCATTCTTCTCGTGTGATTTTTTGAAACATAGTTCGAATTAATGGAATCGCTAAAATAAGTTAATTGTTCGATTTGGTACTCTTAACACTCGTCTCCACGTAATTCATTAAAAGCATTAAATTCTTTGTGTATATTTCATTCGATTTTGCTATAGTAGTTGTACCAATTAAATAGTCAATATAGTCACCCATCTCGAAAATATTCTATTTATACTGTAATTTTCATGTATTATACTATATGAGATGATAATCGGATCTTATTAATCGTTTATCACATTTTATTGTAAATTTGAAAGCATTCCATAAATATATAATATGCATACTTAATTTGAAATTGGGACAGAAAATAATGTTTTTATGGAAACAATAAGAATGCTCTCTAATTCTTAATAAAGAATAAATTATAAAGCAAGTGTACAAATTTTCATTAAATAGTCTTTTATCGTTCTACCTATGTAGCGATAAAAGACAATGAGAAACTAATAAAACAATTCGAGATAAATACTATGTGATTATACATAATTTCCTGTACTATATAATTCGCGCGGTAACGATGAATTATTCATGGTATGTAACTGTATTTACGCCCAAGTTATAAGGCTGCCTTATTTGTCGTCGCGTAATTAACTTCTCAATCGCTGCTGGGTGCCGTACGCTCCAAACAAGAACATAATTACTTGTCGAGCTTATGAGAATTACTAATTTGATGAACCAGAAGATGCAGTGGTGAGAGTGAGGTTGCAGTTAAGAGAATTGTGGAAGAAACTAATAATAGTTTGGCTTTATATATATTATCGCATATTCATAAAGAAATAATCAAAGAATTAATCAATGTTTTACTTAAAAAGTAACAAATGAAATAAGATTGTGTGTCAATTGTATAAAAAAATAATACAAATCTTAATATGTAAGTAATCAAAAGTATAAACCGGTATTCACATAACATACGTTAAAATGTCATAAATTAAATTATAGGACCGTATTAGCGTCTTAAGTCATCGTTTAAGATGGTTTTGAAATAAAAACTAATTATGAATGCTAGATTATATTTTTAATTAGGTTTAAATTTGCTTAAATAATTATAATAAAGTAACTTGATAAAAACATAAAAACATTTCCAGATTATTATAATAAACGAAATAAAAAGTAAAAAAATAAAATTATAACAAACTTTATCCAAAACGCTTTTCCTGAATGCTGTTGCTATACTAAAATTATTGATACGTGTTTAAAGACTATGTATCTACGTGTACACTTGTCAAGTTTGCAAAATTATCGAATTATATATGTGCATTCATCATCATTTATCCTAAATTTACTGTAATTCTCAGAAAATTCACGAGAACCAAACTTGAATTCTTCCTACGAACTGTGCGTTCATGCATATCCTTGTATCGTTTCTTTTGCTACTTAATTAGAACGCCACTTATTGGCGCGTTACGGTATAATAGGAAGATCATTATATAGTCAATGCTTAATCCAAGCAAATATCCGGGAGGAAATTAAATATTGGTTGAAAACTAAAATAACTAGTCATAGTCCCGCGACGTTTAAAGCTACAAGATTAATAATGAGTTTGATTTTCACCAGTGAAACTTATTTAATGAATATGATAGAGAATACACACACTAATAAAAGGATTACAAAATTTCAAATTTTACTATATAGATTTTGTATAGTGTATAATATGAAAATTAATTATAATAATATGTTATTCAATGTTTGCATATTTTACACTGAAATTTAACATTGTCACAATTATTTTTGGTGCTATTAAATTTGTGCATTAGAGAATTGTTCAGAATTCTAACCAGTATTTTTTGCATATTATATCCATTTTCACATAATGTATTTAATAATATTTCTACATCTTACTTAAAAGAAGCATTGATAAAATTGATTAAATCGAGAATATTGAAAACGGAGAATACGAAAGCTATCAATCTTCAATAATCCTATCTCATTCTAACGTTTGAATGGAAACCAAATCCTACTAATGAAGTTGCACGCTGATTTCAAGATACCTTTTATCAATCCTCACCCTGACGTTTCGTGATCATCTATGCATGAATTGTTCTATCTCCATTGACGGAAATTTTTTTCGTTTCTTCTTGTACAGCTAACCGATGTTTTCCCTGGGGCATGGGCAATCGAAAATTTTACACGAATACGGAGGAGAATCGCTATAAAATTTGGTATTGAAATATCGCCAAGAGGAATATCGAGGATAATCAAATCCGAAAAAAATCATATCATAAAAATGAAATGGTCAAGCCATGTTTAAAAAAGGTAGTCAAAAACCTTTTTATTTAATAATAATGTATTATGAAAAGTAACTGATATATTATTAATTAAAGGTACCAGTACAAAGTGAACGTACACAAAGTGTTAAAAATTAATTTAATTGATTTCAGCATTTATTTCATTTTTCTTTTAAGAAAAGAACAATTTCTAACTTTGTTAAGCACATAAACATGATAAATTTGTCTTACTCTAATATAACGTCAAGAGACTTCAGATTTCTACATCTTTGTCTACAGTCAGATTTTGAAATGCCGCGGCCGGTAAGAAAAATAAAGATTTCAAGGCTTAAAACAGTTTTTTAAACATTTCGATACGATGATTTTTGAAAAAGTTATTCTACTACAAATTTGCCTGTTCTTACAGGTGATGGTTTAATTTGAGTAGTATATTTAAAAAATTATCAGATTTGTGTTACTGTTTTCATAACAATTGCTAACGTGTTTTTAAAAAAATTACATCAATCTTTATTTTTTTTTTGCTAGAACGAACTGTGTAGCTTGTGTAATATAATTTCAAATTCTCTATATTTTATAATTTAAATTAATACCTCGATTAGACCGTTTTCTTTAAGCAGAAATAGAAAATACGGGTTTTAGTTTTCCTAAAGAACATCTCTCCGCAGTTTTTACGATTTTTAAAACAATAATGCAAAATGTCCTCTCGAAAGAATCACTTATAAGTATACATAAGTATATCTATATGTACATGAAAACGTATAATAGGTATCCGTACGAAGACCTTGGATCAGTCGTTCCCAAGACTTTGACGTGTTTATTTGTCAGCAAACAATTTCAAATTCAAACGTATCATTTGGTCTTGTTCTATACATCTAAATTTTAATTTTTGAATAAAAGTTATTAAATAAATCTAACAATTATTCGACTTCAGAGAGGTGACTTTATAATTTTAAATATTTGTAACTATCATTACGTATTTATAACTAATTCTATTTGACACAGCTTTCCGTTACTTCCTTATTACTTTTCGTGACAGCTGTTAGTTTATTATATAATTTTATTATATTTAAAATTGTGTTACTGTATCTTTTAGGGTTTTTTATAATTTATGGAAAATACGAAAGCAAAAGTATCTAAATATTTTTAGAACGTGTAAATTACGAAAGTAATACAAAGAACGTTACAGCAAAGTGAATTGAAAAATAATCCTGATGGATCCGAGAGATAATTCTAAAAAGATGATAAGAGATCAAAATGAAGAAATGAATATCGATAGAAAAGGAGATGTACACCAACAGCGCGGTAAGACTTATATAGTCCCTAATAATAATTATTCTTAGTTCAATTAATATTACTATGCATTACAATTTGCTCAACAAAATTAATGCATTAAATAATCCATCATGCAAAAATAAAAAAATTTTGATGTAGAATAACTTTGTCAGGAATAATCGTATTGAGAATTTTAGAAAAACACTTTAAAGCATTAAATCTGTTCTTTTCAGAATTTTACTTCAAACAACGATATTACTGACACTTTGTAAAATTACATAAATTAAAATAAAGGTACAACAGATTTCAAAATTTTTAACAAAATTTGCGAAAATTCCACGTTGCGAATTGAAAATGGGCACTCACGCGGTTCAAAAGCATCCGAAGGGGTAAATCTTAGTATCTAAACTTCCTTTCTTTCGTACTTTGTACTATTTTTTTTCTCTGAACTATTGGACATTGATGTAAAAATGAACTTTTTTACTTCAACCGAAATTGGTGAATAAATCCGTGAAAAAAATCGATGAAAAAGAAAATTGCGAAAAAGAACGATTCAATCTTTCGAAAGCTGTGAGACCCATTTGAGCATAATTATCATTTCGCACCGAGCAATTTCACAAATTAAATATAAAACTTTAAGATTTGACGAATAGTCATTTATGATACTGTAATTTCAAAATATCAACGAGATATTTTTTGAAGTGACGGTGTCAAGGGTAGAGATTACATTATATAAAATTGATTTTTAAACATTTCATTATGATGATGTTTTACGAAGTTATTCTTTTTGGAAGTTTGCCTGTTCTTGCAGGTGATGCTTTAATTTTGTTGAAGAGAGAATTTTAAATATTATGAGAATTATGTTATATTTTCATGCTTATTTCATAACAACTGCTTTCATAATATTAAGATAAGCGCACTGACTTCTCGACAACTTCGAATGAAAATAATAGAGATATACGTATTGAAATTAGGCCACACGTATGTGAAACGTGTGACAAAAGGTTTGCATATAAAAAGAATTTGCGTCGTCATGAGGGAATTCATAAGGACGAAAAACCTTATCAATGCGAATTTTGTAAATATAAATGTCGGTGAGTTTTTAAGTGAACTACAAAAGTTATAATAAGGATATGCTTTGGTAATTCATTATCTATAATTAAATTAACTGATAAATGAAATAAAAATTGTAACGGTTGTTTTTGCAGGAGAAAAGACACCCTTAGAAGCCACGTGATAGCAATACATGCCAATGATGAACGTTTCAAGTCTAATAAGGATCTATATACGGGAGGTGTATCATACAAATGCGGAACGTGTAATAAAGAATTTAAGAATCAAAGGGACTTGCGTATTCATGAGAGAATTCATAATGACGAAAAACCTTATCAATGCGAATTTTGTGAAAATAAATTTCGGTGAGTATTTAAGTGAGCAACAATAGGTAAAGTAATTACTTAACAATTCAATATATATCATTGATTAAATTAACTGGTACAAAAAATTAATATTGCAACGGTCGCATTGCAGCCAAAAATGTCACCTAAAAAGTCACATGGTGGCAAAGCATTTCAATGATGAACGTTTCAAGGCTAATAAGGACCTATATACTGGAGGTGTATCATACAAATGCGCAATATGTAATAAAGAGTTTAAGAACAAAACACATTTACATCTCCATGAAATGACTCATACAGGCGAAAAACCTTATCAATGTGAATTTTGTAAAGATAAATTTCGGTGAGTTTTTAAGTGAACAACAAGAGTTAAAGTAATTATTTGGCAATTCAATATCATTGATTAAATTAACTGGTACAAAAAATTAATATTGCAACGGTCGCATTGCAGCCGAAAAGATTACCTAAGAAGTCACGTGATGGCAAAGCATTTCAATGATGAACGTTTCAAGGCTAATAAGGACCTGTATACCCGAAGTGTATCATACAAATGCGCAATATGTAATAAAGAGTTTAAGAACAAATCACATTTACATCTCCATGATATGACTCATACAGGCGAAAAACCTTATCAATGTGAATTTTGTAAAGATAAATTTCGGTGAGTATTTAAGTGAACAACAAGAGTTAAAGTAATTATTTGTCAATTAAATATCATTGATTAAATTAACTAGTACAAAAAATTAATATTGCAACGGTCGCATTGCAGCCGAAAATATAACCTAAGATGTCACATGATGGCAAAGCATTTCAATGATGAACGTTTCAAGTTTAATAAGGACCTATATACTGGAAATGTATCATACAAATGCGGAACATGTAATAAAGAGTTTAAGAACAAAGCACATTTGTATATTCATGAGAGAACTCATATTGGCGGAAAACCTTATCATTGTGAGTTTTGTGGAGATATGTTTAGGTGGGTATATTTTTGAATATCAAGAATAAAAGGAATTATATGCCTTTAATTCGTCCTATACATTTAAATTAGTTCGTAACAAATGATATATTGCAACGGTGACTTTATAGACATATTCGATCTCTAAAACAGCACAAATTTGTGTTTCATTAAAATAATTAACGTTATTACAAATCTAATGAATATGAAAAGAATTCCCATACTAAATGATACTTGGTTATCATGTGGACTCGCGCGCACGCGCGAAGCACAAAAACAAAAGACAACATTTTTGCAAGGTATGTCCTTTAATATTATCACAAACGAGAAATGAGTGGTTAACATCCAGTTGTGTAACAAAGAAACTTTATTGTTTTTCAACACAATAAAGAAATTACAACAAATGTGACACCGATCGAATCATTATCAATGTCACAATAAATTATAATTATGAAACTATTTGAAATCTACAAAATTTTTCGGTAACACAGTCCTCATATCCTTTACAATTACGAGTACATAAATAAGAATAGTAAAAGTGGTAAAATGTTATTCAATGTTCTTATTATTTGAATATGCTATAATATTATACGAATATTAAAAGTTAATTATTTTAGTACCATGGACTGTTAATACAAAGAAGATTACGGTAACATAAGTTATAATTATATTTTGATAATGTCAAGGATAATTACGAAGAATATTACATAAATTGACGTATGACATACATAGAATAATCTCATGATGTTAAAAAATATAAATTATTATACAATTTATAATATAAGTAATTATAATAATTTATAATAATTTATTTTAAATGTTAACTGTGTTTATGTTACTCTAGGATCATTTTGCGCCTATATAGGGATTGACGTGTATAATTGATAAAATGTTTAAAGTACGATACATTCCATCTTTAACTGTTTATTTCTTTAAATAAATTTAATGTAACTAATAAATTAAGAAACGTCTCCTTCTTCTTCTTCTCTCTCCGCATTCATCATTGCAATATCGTTTCTAATTAATATATCGAAGTCGGTGTAGCCCTACAAAGAAAATCACGACATTTTCATGAATTATGTACACATAACACACATATAAGTACAGCTCTTAAATGCTCACGTCCTAGGGCCGGAATCAGACTACGCATTGAAAATTGAGATTGAAGATTAAAAATTGAAATTTGACCAATGAGGATAAAGAAATTTTAGCTCCTATTATTTTGATTAGCCAAAATTTAATTTTTCAATCTTCAATCTCAATTTACAATGCGTAGTCTGATTCCGGCCTAACACTTGTAAGTTAATGTCACTGTAACTGTAAAATCGTGTCAACGTCTTTTAGTATAATACAATTCGACTGCTTGTATCTCCAAGAACGGCTTGACCGATTTAAAATTTTTTGACTCAAATTACTCGTGAGGATGCCGTCTTTCAGGACATATAACGTTCGATTCAAAATTTTTTGTATTTCAGTAGTTATCCACCACCGAATAATGGACTTTGGTGGCTCGGGATAAGAGACTTGTAGTGTCTTTCAGTTTTTGAACATGGTCGGAGACATTACCGCGTCTCCTGATTTCTTTAAGAACGCAGATAGTAATAATATACAAAGAGAGTCGATTTTTATATTTAATTTTTGGTAATAACATACCTTGAATTTTAAACTATTATACATTCAATATTCTTAAACGATTAAGGGAAATGAATTGTTTATTTTATCTGAAATGCATAAATGGAGAGAAGATAATAACATTTATAAATTACAGATTGTAGATAAATTGGAGATGTTGACACAGAGTGGTTTTGTTCATAATAATGAGACCATGTCAAAACAAATTATTTGATAAATCATATTGTGCATAAATGATAATCTGTGTTTCATTTCTATTTTATATTAAAGATATCAGATATTAATTAAAGCGCTTAATCCGTCATTACAGTCATAGATTTTCATGTCAGAAGAGAGAAATGATGTACAATATAATTAATTTTATGTAGTATAAATAAATTAATTGTTTTCCATGTACTTTTCACAGGATGGATATGTAAAATAAAGTGCGATATTTTCCTCTTCAACATGAATTGATAGCTATGATATATTTTAATTAACTGTAAAATATAATAGTTTATTTTGCTGAGTAACATCTGTAAATAAAATGATGTAAATGTCATTTTACTTTTATCTGCAGGTTTCTATAACCTAAATATGTTATTCTAAACATTATTTAATTTTCTGCCTAAATATATATCCTAAAAAGGGTATCTAAAGATACTCTAGGAAAGAAAAATTAATTTTGTTTACATGTTTCTTGCATGTAACAATAACGCTGTTACATTTGACCGAACATTCAACATTAATATAGCAATTTAGAGTCAAAGATACTAATTACCAAATACATTTATCACAAATGACTCCACAATGTCGAAGTGTCACATCTTCGAAGCCCGAGCTGCAACTAATGCCTCGTGACAGTTATTCTGGAATGAGACGACGAGAACAAACGGAACGCTGACACAAGCAGCTCGGTGCTCACAGCAAGAATGGTTCTTCGTCCCGGCACATTTCCACGACCCAACCCCTGCTCTATTCACCAACACTAAGTCCAAGTACGATATGCTCGGCGAGTTGGCGCATACTCGCCAAGGTGTTCGCACGAGTTTGCTAAGGCGCCGTGCATCCAAGGCGTGTCTACGTATGCACCGTAGGCGCGCCGCAGCCCTAGCTCAGCCACTTCTCAGACACCTTGGAATTAACGCGGTGATTTCGAGTACTCGGGGGAATTCTTCGGCTCGGTGCTTCCCACCGCGTCTCCTTTAGCGGTAACGGCCTCACTAAAGGTTTATCGCCCTGTTGTTGCTCCGCTCGTGGATCGAAAACAATTCGGGAATTGCGCTTTTCGTACAACTGTTATCACAAGTTTGCACAGTCTGTTTGCAAAAAGAAGCATTTATTAATATGCAACAATATCTACCGGCAGTTGTCATGCTCTTGCATATTCTTCAACAAATTGCTACTTTATTTTAGATTTGTTTCTGCATAAAATTTAATTAGAAGGTATTTGATATTAAATTATATAAGTGTTTTTTATGTATATATTTTTTAAAATAAAACATGGAGATTATATCCATTGTCACATAATTTGTTCATCATTATTAATTAATGTACAATTTTCTTGTTTAATACATGAACGTATAAATTTTATACATAAATACATATTAAATAAATATTAAGAAAAATCATACATTAAGTTTATTGATCCAATTTTTCCACATATTTATATATGCATTATATTACATATGTAATATGAATGCAAATTTATTGAGAGTTTACTTTAGTCAGCTAAAATGTTGCAGTGGCATATCGTGCGGCGTTGTATAATGTTCATGAAATATTATCACGATGCCATCAACTTCACCAACACTACACATATAGTACATTCACATGCATGTCCAAAAGTGCACGAGAGTATGAATTGAAAATGGCCAATTACAGAAACCACAGGATATTAAGCGGAGCCATATATGAGGGTGATTATTTCAGTGAGCTATGCGAGGATGTAAAATTTGTGAAAGAAAGTTTTATAGAGCAAGGAACATCGAGAAAAATGATTTTCGGTGCCCGTAGAACGCGTTTGCTATGAATAACGCAAAACTACGGAAATGGTTTTTCCGCGTCCATAAAATCCACATGAATATCATGTTGTTACAATTGGAGGCGTGGTAAATAGTATGGTACATACATCCAATACATATGTAGCGCGATCCGCGACATATTATAATTAACAATAAAGTTATTAAGTTTTTCGATACTGTCATCGCCTCGGACCGTAATGCTGCCATTTATACACATTATCGTACGTCGATCAACAAGTCATATTTCATGAATCCGCATTATTATTGCATAATATTATTACACGATTTATATGCAAATTAGACGAATTCCGGTGCAATTCGTGCTACATGCTAAACTCACGGCAGTAACTGCAAACACGTTAATCCTACGTATCCACACACGTGCACACGTATGAAATATAATTTCCTACATTTACATTGCGCATACCCCGCTCGCGACTTCCGTATTAAATTCAGGAGACGTATGTAGGAAATTTTCTCCCGCCGTTTTCATAGGTTAACGTAGGCGAAATGTTAATTGGAACTCCATAAAATTACGCGGGTATGCATTACGTGTGGACGATATTACCTTATGTAAAATTAATGTGGCACAGATTCATTTTTAACATTTAATTGTCCTTACAGGCACACTGCGACATGCATAACAAAAAAATGATTTAATATTTGTTTTGTATTCTTACTTCTTTATTTTTGATTGCATGAGAAAAGAACAGTTTGTTGAAAGATTTACCATAAAATTTAGCTGGATACAGATTTGAAAATAATTTTGTTGGATCATTAAAGTAATTTTGTTGAAAATTCAAACTGATTGTTAGAATAGAAAGACTTTTCACAGATATTTTTTCTTTCCAGCAAAATTTTAAATCTTACAACAAAATTGTTCTTTCTGCGTGAGAAATTATATAGTTAACCGAATTGCGCTTCGTTTACCTTCAATAATTTCTTTTATGTTTAAATATAAAATACACTAAATTATATTTTATTGTAATTTTTGTAATTTAAGATAATTAGTAAGTAACTACCTAACTCGAACTGATTTGCATCTTTTTCTATTGATATAATTTGTAGTGCTTGCAAAAAAGTACGATACTGAGTTTGTTTTACACGCGCATAAAGGCACAAATCCCATGACATTTGCAGCATGGAAGAAAAGGATGTAGTGTGGTGAGTACCTGGACACATTAACGTCAACCCATGTACGTAAAGAACATAATCTACAGGATTTTTATACATCAGCCTGTGGCTCTTTATATAGCCATGTATGGTAGTATTTTTAACTTGAATATTCGAGAGTGTCATTGCTTTAAAATACGTTCTAGAAGAGACATCGCTTCGCTAATATTCGCGAATGAGTGAAACGAGGTCTGGGTAAACAGGGGAAACAGGATCGAACGTGGTATCGAAGATTACGACGATGAGGACGACGATAATGAGTCGGATATTGGATAGGCTTCAATAACGTTGCAATCATCCGACGCGTTCTCCGGGATCGTTCAGGGCACGCGCCATCGTTCTTCTCCTAGTGGAACGCTACGGTGTCCCAATTTAATGCGCAAGTAACGCGTTAATGCACGGAAGTTACCGGTGTAAAGTGGAATGTGATGGAATTACGTGCGATATATTGGGAATGGTAATACGAACGGTAATAGAAGTAAATCTAATTTACGCGATAAATTGTACACCGCACGTATTTGATGAATTAACTTTGTGTGAAATACATTGTGTGTACAATATTGTGTCCCATTTTATTTATTTTTTATCGATTTTCAGATTTAAAGTATAGTATTTCAGTGTCAATATCACTAATTAAAGTGAAGAATCAGATGCATGGGATATATCGTTTAATTTAAAACAAGCATTGATGAGAAAAAAAAGTTATCTCGTTAAATTTAAATTAAACAGCTTTATATACACTTTTGTTTTATTTTATGTAATATGTTAATGATTATTTTTATTTGATATATCATACATATACTAGATTATAATAAATATTTATCTTCACTCACTCTGAATTTTTGAGAATAAAATCTTACTCAGACAAGAAAAAAAATTCACTTCAGTCGATAATAAAAATACTGTCATTCGGAATGGAGTGATATTTTTTACTTTTCATAAATGATTAATTCTAACATAGAATATTTGCTTGAAGTGAAACATTAGTTAAGACAAATTCAATACGAAAAAAAGAAGTCTTAATCTAAAAAAATATTTAAATTTATTGTTAATATATTATACATATGTAGATTCTTATTAGCATTTATCTCTAAAAGATGTATTTTTACATAATATCGACTCAACAAAATACAACGTCGACACGATGACAAAATAAATGACTAGTGTAATTTGCTTATCGAACTTCTTGCTTGGTTCATGCACTGTGTCTAAGTATGACAGTGACGTAAAATGGATTTAAATCTTCAATTACGAGTAAAAATATTTACTCCACGATACAAAGTGAGAGAATTCACTCTTAAATGAAAAGTCATTTTAACTTGAGTGATTCGGTAATCATTTCATTTTCAAATTTCATTGCAAGATATTTAGAGAGTAGTCTATACATTGGTAACGTTATCAACATATTTTCTGATAACTTTTGGCCTGCTTCTCAAATAGAACTCATAATAATAACATAAAGGCATCATCGCGATCTCATTTGTCATTTATAAGTTCATTTTTGAGGACGTCATAATGACGTCCTATAATATTACTGTAACTTAATTATGACTGTGTGCTATATCTGGATTACTCCATAAATGAAAGATTCTTTCTAACTTGTTTTTAGTTAGTTATTAGAAGATTTAAAAGATCTTGATTATATTATAACTTCCATTGTTTTATCAACCAGGACTAGGGATGACCAAATAAAAGCTGACTGCGTCTTTTACTTCGAATTGACCTACTTTAAAACAGTACCACCAATTCCCCTGCTTCGCTGTTATCGCTACCACGAAGAGGGATTTGTTTGTCGGCCAGTAACTTTTACAGACGAGACTCCATTTGGACTGCAACTAACTTTCCAATCGGTGTTTACCTTGATACGTGCACCCGTTCCCCCTTACTACCCGATGAGCTCGCCACACCAGCCAACTTTCGAATTTCCTGTGGACGCAGGAAGTTCTTCGCAATTTTGAAGTTGTCGCTGACAATTGAGAGAGCGATTTCTATGGTGGATAAGTCGCGGGAACACACCGGTGTCCGACCTAGCGCAAACTACGCGAGATGAATCGAGAATACAAAGTGTTGCCAAGAATGGATAATAGAAATGGTGCATCATAAGAGAAACGCGAAAGAGCTTCCCCTTTACACGCTATTTTTAATAAATAATAACATGCGCTACTCAATTTATGACATTACTATACAGAATGAGAACTTTCATCTGTAATTTTATCAATCTTTTATAATTTTATTTATGCACGTTAGTTAATTTTTAAAGTTCTTGGTTTACAAAGAGTTTAATATGATATTAAAATTATTTTGATTTCATGTTTAGTAGGAAAACATGCCTTGATGTAAATTATTTATATGTACGATACAAAACATGTATACAATATCTATCAATGGTCAATTAGTAGATGTTATGCATTTACATATATCTGAAACGTATGTATATCGTTGATCGGTTTATTAATATTTACTTTATCACATCAGGAAGAATAGCTAAATTCAGTGAAAAAATTGATATAATTACTGCTTGGCTTTATTTCTTTCTCTTTACTCATCAATTAATTGAATAAAATCAAGATTATATAATATACATTTGCATCCATCATGATTATATAATTTATACAATTCAAAGTGTTCACCTAATATATAAACATTGTTTTTATTGGTTAATTATGCGTTAATTCTGATTACTCTGCAATTTTCTGTCCAAACAACGGGTTTTAGCAAAATTTCCAGTTAATTAAAACTTTGGACTACATAATGGACTGTCAATTAAAGCGTGACGTTAATCCATTCGTGGTTGCGTGTTTTTTAGTTAGCAACCAGCGAGAGTTTTCCTTCGCAAAACAGAAAAGCCTCAGAAACATAAATTACTTCGCAAATGTGTACTTGTAACTATTACTACGGTCTGTGTGCCAGTCATCAAGGATTAATTACTGTAAACTTATAATTATGAACATGTTAGCTTATGGCAAGATAAACAACCAGCGAATCACTGAAGCACAGTCTCAGTTTAACTATTAATCCGTAATTACTTGATATAGATATATCTGAATATAAGATGAAAATTGCCAGTGTTGTATATTAACACAATTAAAGGAGTCCTACAATTTTTTGAAACAGGATGTGCAGTAGTCTCGCTTTAAGTTTGCCCAATCTGCACGAACTGAAACCTCTCTCCCGTCCGTGCAGCGTTAATCCATTCACAGGCTGCTGTACGCAAGCGAGAAACGACACGCAGGCTCAATATTGCAAAACGCCAGTGGATAACGCTCGAAGCGATATTGACCGGTCCTCCAGCGGTGGTACGTGGCGAAACGACTGTTCGGCAGAGGCCGGAATGAAAATTTCAGAAGCGGATGCGCACAACGACACAATAGAGACCAAGGTACGAAGAAGAAAAAGGAAGAGCGAACGATTCACTGGTGTGCACACTCTCGTGCCAGCGATACCTACGAAAAGAGACAGAAAGGGCATTGAAAAATAAAAGCAGAATGAGCCAGACAGGAAACGAGATCGACGAAGAGAAGCAGCTAGCAGTGCCACCATTCGCGAAATCCGCCGCAAACGTCTGTCAATTTCCGTATCGAACGTTGCCTTATTCTATACAAAATAACACTACTAACGATTTCTAAATTAGAATAATTAATGTTATAAATTATTAATAAAAGTGTATAATAATTATTTATAAAAAAAATTTATCTTATCTTCTTCTAATATATCCCTAAATATAATACGCATTCATACCCAATACTATTTACAACTAGAAATTCCTCTCTGATCATTATGGTTACAGCAAAATCACGTGATTTTTACCTTTCTAAATTTGAGACAATGTATAATGTCAATTTGGTCAAATAAATACAAAGACAATAACAATTTTATAAGCAACATTTCTTTACATTTCTTACGTCACGCGCGCGAATTAAAATCAATAATATGTTTAAATACTGATTCAAATGTTAATATCCTGAAATGCTGTGGAATAATAAATATTAAATTGATTTATATCAGTAATTTATTATGCGAATTGTATTATCCTTCGTTTTTCGTAAGTGTGTAAACAACTATCTACATGGTATCCGTGTCGGAAAATTCGCGATGCATCGAATAGAGTGTGAGACGACCTGCCTTGACGAAGCTTGCTTGGTTGTAGTTTAAAGTTTAATGAATAATAAGCAAGTGCGAGATACACAGACTGTCGAGAGATGCTATCGGTGCCACTGTCAACATCCAACTAATATCACGTACAACGTGGCAGGTTAATTGGAACGGACTTTGGACTCTAAGGAGTATTTTGTGGGACCTAAATCGCGTTCTCAGTAGCCAACGACTTCCGGCGCCGCGTCTCTTTAGTAGCTCGGGGGCTTCTGTTTTTTCCTTCCGTTTTACGGGGCGCATGGTAACCGACGATCTAAAAGAAGAAAGAACGCATCGCATGACTTGTGGGAATAGTACAGTGGCATTTAGATTTTGTTTTCGTCATGTGATTTATGCTACTCGCGTGCGACTTCTTACGCGAAGTATATATATATATATCGGTTTTCCTCCCCTTGCGACGACGATGCATCATCGCTATGCGTTGAACGTAAGTAGACATTTGGCGAAAAGCGAGATCTTGTTTATCCGGTCATTGTTATTTCAACAGATATCGCATCTGTTATTCGCGATATCCTTGCGTCTTCAATAAATTATGCAACTTTAAATATAGTTACGTCGCAAAGTATGTAAAGTGATATATTTAATAAGTAATCTTCTGTAAAAGTTGATATTAAAGTAGAAAAGTTATTAAAGCCGATAAAGTCAATTAATCGAGAAAGATACAACGCGAACATAAATATACCTCGTTCGTTATCAACTGAATTGATTGTGTTCTGATCGTGGATAGTAAATAGGCGTGGTCGGAGCCTAGTAAATTGGCAGATGGTTCCCAAATTGATAGATTATGATTAATCGCGTATTGATCCGAAACTAACTAGCGACGGATTTTTCAAGGCATTCGTCGCATCAACGCGCTAGAAGCGAAGTAAAGCAAGGAGGAAAACGTTATTGAAAATGATGAACGATGTTTGCCACGAGGAGGATGGTTTTTGTCGACCGCTCCAAACATACAGGGAATATCGTTATAACCACGTGGACTATAAACGCTACTGATACAATTCATCGTCTTGTTCTACTTGGTGATCGAAATGTACAACATATACATTTTCTTAAGATCGCAAATGACTATATTCTAGCCTCTAAAAACTCTAATTATAATTGCATACAATTACTAATTATAATTACATCCTAATGCGTAATGTATTTCTCACGTGTGTTTATCAACTCTCGACGGAATAATTTCGCGTATAAATACGTACTCTCATTGCCATTTTTTAAATAAAAATTTAATACAGGCTGAGAGATGTGTCGCCAGAGTAAATTAACGGATACATTTTGTGTCTCTCTTGTCGCGGATATGTATCAGAGTGCTGCAAGAAAGTAGGAATCCGTGTTTTAGTGGACGCGCTTTACAGATACGACTATTCTTCCGAGATTAAGTACTAATAAAAACGGAGATGAGACGGTGAGCTGGTGTAATAATCAAGCGAGATTAAAACTTTTATATCCAGCGGCGAATAATTATAAAAGATGAAATGCGCTTTTGTACACGAAGATTACCGAGCGATAGAAACGTTTATTTGTTTAATCCACTTTAAGACACCGGTTTACCTAAATTCTACTTTCTTCTTTAACAAAGTTACTAGTGTTACCTAGTGTTACCACTAATGTTCGGTACGAAGCAATTGCGTAATGCCGACACATGCTTCGCAAGCGTAAAATTTTCTTCGTGGCTAGTTTACAAACGTCGCGAATAAATGCTCGCGAGGTATATCGTCTGAACTCTTTTGCGGTGCTAATGGCTTTAATGCAATCTATGTAAATCATAATATAAACTGTTACGTTTTATTGCGCGTCGTAACTTTTCTCATCATAGATACCTGAAGAAATGTAATTTATTACGCACGATCATAAATGTTAACGTGCACTTTTTTCTCGCAGATTTTTGATATCAGCGATGGTACAGAATAAATGATACCTACATTAGGTCCTGTTTTATTACGCGCGTAATGCAAATTATGTAATATAACGTTATGTAATAAATTATTACTTATTAACTCTATAATTTCAAGATGATATATAAAGTAAGAACGAAAATAGGACTTACTAAATTTGAAATAATTTAACGAAATTGTAATTTAACACTCTGATGCTTATTAATATATATATGTATATACGAGGTCCTTATACATATTATAATAATGTAATATTTTGTTTTATCGTAATGTGACAATATTATGTTTAATATCAATCCAGCAGATCAGGAAATTTAATATATTGTTTAGAGGCGGGAGAAGGGGTGTAAATTATAATCGAGGTTTTTAAATCTAGAGAGAGAGAGTCGAATAGTACGGATTATTAGATTTATTTTGTTTCACATTATGTTTGTGATTAATTATTAATAAATAAATCACAAAATCACACTTTTAATTTATTAATTTACTTTATATTTTTCTTAAAATTATAACTGATCGTTCAAATTAGGAAAATTTAAATTTATAACATTAACAGTTGTGTTAGATTCTTAGAAAATTTTTCTTTAATTTTTACAATTCTTTTTTTTAACTAATTTCCTTTGAATACTCATTAGTTTTAATTTAAATAGTTTTTATTGTTTTTGTTCTTTAAGATTTGAATGGGATTTCTCTTTGTCCGCCTTTAGGTAAGCTTTATATAATAATATAGTTTAAAAATTTGTGTCTATTTATAATAAAATTCGTTTTTGACAATAATTTCGCCTTTAATTTTCCGCCTACATACAATTTCTAATTTTGTAAAAATATTGGAAAAGAGCCATCAGGTCATTAAGTAAGTACCAATCGTGCACTGTGCCAAGTGATTGGACGCTTGGCAAAAAATAGAATACGACGAGATCCGCTCTATTCCTTATCGATCGGCCAGGTATACTGGCTAATGGCGAGAAAGTGGAAATCGTCGAATGCCTTTGCTGCCTCCCGGACTCTTCGGACTTAATTTCGTAATGCAGACTGGTGCGCGCACCATCGGTATATAAGAATCAAGAATAGCGTGGAAACAGCAGGAGGATGAAGCAACGCAGTAACGAGACGCCGCGCCGCACCGCGAGAATATTTCATCGGATCGTTGTTCCTCGCCGAACGTACCTCGGCTTGCTACGTGCTTAACGACCGTGCGTCAAAGAGCCTCCATCACGAAGTACATCGCTAAGTATATACAGGAACTATATATCGTGCTTCGCACGAAACTTAGTAGTTCGACAATCAGAGGAAATGTTCGCTCGCGCAATCGCGACGTTGCGCATAAAATCGAATTTATACGGTTCGCCCTTGATGGATTATTGTAAGAGACTAATGAAATTTACTTAAACCTTTTACAGAGCTATTGCAATTTTAGAGGATGGAAAAGGTAATTTTGTGAGAATGAGAAATTTATCATTTGTTTTTTAATGTCAAGTGCCATTGGATGCAATTTACAATCAGTCAGATCAAGTGAAAGTTTCTTCCGCTTAGCAATAACAGTTTTGCATCGGTGGAATTGTAAAAGCACCAAGGTGGTATCTAATTCTGGGCGAGATGCTGGCTCGTGCAATCAACCGCGCTGTCTTAAATAATGTAGCCGGATGCGTATTTCCTCGGGTAATACGATTAAGAAGTTTACGCGCCATTCTTGCGGGGACTTCTGGCGTTTCGCTGTAACATTACTTTTTAACTTTTTCCCGCGTAATTACTCTCTCGCTCCGCGGATGAAATTTTAATGCCGGCCGCGGATCCGGAGATTGGAAGTGACGGGCGAGAATGCGGTGCGCGTACTTGAGTTTTGCGTCGATAAATAAAGCGACGCCCCGCGATCCACGTAAATAAAATCCGTTATTGTGGCGCGTTGAGTCGTTAAAAACCGTAATGTTAAAATTATACTCGCGTATTGCAAACGCTAACTGATCGTGAATGGAATCGTATCTCTTGAAAAATTACTCTTGGATCATACAATTTGAATGAGAAAAATGGTGGAAAGTTTCTTTGCACATGTTTATCGAAGTAAATGTTACATAGATGTGAATGATGATAACTTTTCAATTTTGGAATGTTATTGGAAAACTATAAACTATTAAATAAAATTCCTCTTTTTAAAAAGAAAAATTTAAACATAAACAAATTATCAGCTTAAAAAAATAAAATAGCAAAATTGTTTCATTAATAAAACGTTTAGGACAAATAGAATATTTAAAACAAACATGATAAAATTGACTAAAAAATTGTATGCAATTAATATTATAAATCAATTAATTAAGACAATTATAATAAATAATATACTGCGTCAATAATATTTATTTTACACTGTTTAACACTAAAATTACAATGTTTCTTACTCATTCAAAGAATTAAGTAAATAAATTATTATGAAAATAAA